TTCAATCCACGTAATAATTTCTTTTTCTTTTTTGTATTGCACTTTCTCCACTGTTGCACATTTTCTTCCCTTCCTCCCCTAACTCTCCTCACAGTGCACCCCTTATTCCAGATTGTTGTCATTCATGTACTGTCTAATTATATATTCCTTTCAGACAGTTCTTCCCCTCACCTGTTCTATTGCAGTGTTCATTATCTATCCATTCTTTCCCCAACTCCTTCCATGTCTGCCCCATTCTATAACAATGGTGTTATGCAGCAGTAATTGCCCTTCTGTGACTGAGAGATTTCACTCAGCATTATGTTCTCCAGGCTCCTCTATGTTGTGCAATGTTTTATGAGTTCTCTGTGTTTTTTGTCAATGCTGCATAATATTCCATTGTGTGGATGTACAGTAATTTTTCTATCCATTTCTTTATTGGTGGGCACTTGGGTTGCTTCCATCTCTTTGCTATTGTGAATAATGTAGCAATAAACAAACATAGCTGTGCATACATCTCTTTGAATCTGGCTCTGGTTTTTTAAGGTTATTCCTAGTACTGGAATTGCTAGGTCAAATAGTATTTCTATTTCCAACTTTTTTAGAAAGCACCAGATTGCTTTCCACAGTGGCTATATCACGTTACATTCCCATTAGAACTAAATAAGAGTGCCAATCTCTCCAAAACCTCACCAACATTTGTTCTTTGCTGCCCTTTTGAACTTTGCTATTGTTGCTGGGGTGAAATGATATCTCATAGTTGTTCTGATTTACATCTCTCTGATAGCTAGGAATGTGAACATTTCTTCATGTGTTTGTTTGGCATCTGAATATCTTCTTTGGTGAAGTGTCCGTTCGTGTCCTGTGCTCATTTTGTGATTGGATTGTTTACCTTTTTCTTGTTGAGGTGCTGGAGTATTCTATAAATTTTAGTTATAAGTCCCTTATCAGATATATAGTCACCAAATATTTTCTTCCCCAGTCTGTGGGTTTCCTTCTTTTTTTAACATGAAATCGAGTTTTATTGTGGCTATTATTTTTACAAATGTTAATTTTTTTCTATTTTTTTTAATTAATTTTCATGAAAGTTTACAGAGACTTTGGATTTCCATTCATTCATTGTTGCACTTTTCTCCCTGCCCACTCCTCCCCCATTTACTCTTCTCTTTGAAAAATAAAAGAAAAATTCTTTCATTGTTATACAATCCCTCCTCCCAAGTCCACTCCACTATGCAGCCTTCATTCTGAACTACTGTCATGACAATACTACCTAATCATATAGCCCTTTTAAACAGTTCTCTCCCTCATCTGTTTCAATGCAGTATACATTATTTATCCCATCTTTCTCAGTCTCCCCTCAACCTTGATGTCAGTTCCATTTTACAACAGTGCCACTATGCAATATTTGTCCTTTTGTGACTGAGATATTTCACTCAGCATAATGTCCTCCAGGGTTACCCATTTTGTGTAATATTTCATGAGTTCCTTGTTTTCAACGCAGCATAGTATTCCATTGTGTGAATATATCAGAGCTTCTCTATCCATTCGTTTGTTGATGGGCACTTGGGTTGTTTCCAACTGTTTGCTATTGTGAACAAAGCCGCAATAAACATGGGTGTGCGTGGGTTTTCCTTCTTGAGGAAGTTTTTTTATGGGTATAGAGATTTGATTCTTAGAAGGTCCCATTCCTCTGTTTTATTCTCCCCTGGTTGCAGGAGCATGATAATTTCTAATAGTGGGTATCAGGAACAAGAAAAATGGTTATGGGATAAGAAGTGGCCGAATGCTCTCAGAGCCTCCTAGGGGAGGTGATATTCAATGAGAGGTTGAAGAAAAGGGGACAGCCAGGCACTGGGAGAGCAAGGAAACTCAAATGCCATCAAGTCTGAACCAACTCATAAATGATACTGCAGTGGGTTTTCCAACAATCTAAACTATACGGTGAAGCCTAATGGTAAGAGACTGCACTGCAGTCCCGAAGGCACGCAGTTCAAATCCAGCAGCTGCTCTGTGGAAGGCTAAGTGATCTCCTCCCGTGCAATTTACTGCCTTTGAAAACCTGCCAGAGGGGCTATGTATTGGTTCTGATTCGACAGCACACAACACAACAACAACAACACACATTGCACTGAAGAAGACGGTCTACCTTTCTCCCCTGGAGCAACTGATAGATTTAAACCATCACAGAGACATGGCCTTTGGGTGGGCAGCACACCTCTAGTTCTCTCACAGTGATTAGTGGGTTAGAATGTCTAGTCTTTCAGTTGTTGTTATGTGCTGTCAAGTCACCTGCAACTCATAGTGACCGTATGTACAGCGGCTCTGAAGCCTGCCCTGTCCTAAGCCTGTCTCTCTGACTCTGACCCACCTACCCCCATTGCCCAAGCTACTGTTTCAATCCATCTCATCCAGGGCCTTCCTCTCCTGCACTGTCCCTCCTCGCTTCTGAGTATGATGTTCTTCTCTAAGGATCAATCCCTCTTGGCCATATACCCAAAGAATGTGAGATAGAACTTCAAATTCAAAGCCTCCAAGGAGAAACTTGTTTTCACCCTCTCCAAGACAGACCTATTTGTTTTCTTGGCAGTCCATGGTATGTTCAAGGCTTTTCTCCAGCACAACACAAAGGCATCGATTCTTCGTCTGTCATCCTTAGTCACAATGCAGTTCTCTGATGCATAGCACATAATTACAAAGACTGGATCAGGCACACCTTAGTCTCTAGACTGACATCATTGTTTTTAATAATCTGGAAAGGTCCCTGACAGCAGATTTTCCCAGTGCTATTTGTATTTTGATTTTCCTGACTGCTGGTTTCAAGAGCGTTGACTGTGGAGTCAATCCAACTGTAATTGTTAACAACCTCAATCTCTTCTCTATCTATCATAGTGCTGCTAGGTGACCCAGTGGTGAGAATCTTTGTCTTCTTGATATAATCTTTCAGTTAGATTAGAAATTCAACCTTCGATGACACTAGCAGATGTCCATCTTCAGGGAGTGGGCTCTTCCAATGACACGGCCACAGAACTTTGCTTTGATCCACAGTCAACACACTTGGCACCAGCAGTCAGGAAACCAAAAGATGAATTGCATTAGGACAATCTGCTATCAAGGACCTCTCCAGAGTCCTAAAGTCAGGCTAGAGACTAAGTCCAGGCCATGGTCTTCTCAATTGCTTCTATGCATCTGAGAACTTGACAGTGAATAAGAATGGCAGAAGAATTGATGCCTTTGAGTTTTGGTGCTGGAGAAGAGTGCTGAACATACCGTGGATCACCAGGAAAACAAATAGGAGAGGGGGGAAAGCAAGCTGCTCCTTGGAGACAAGGATTTCGAAGCTTCATCTCACATACTTTGGGCATGCTGCCAGGGGTCAGTCCTTGGAGAAGGACATCATACTTGGAAGGGTGGAGAGACAGCTCAGGAGAGGAAGATCCTGGATAAGATGGATTGATACGTGACTATGGCAATGGGATCATGTGTGTGAGAGGCAGTTATTTATGTTGGCTCAGGACAGGGCAAGGTTAGGAGCCTGTCATTCACAGGGTCGCTGTCCACTCGGTGGCATATAACAACAGCAGTGAGAAAGAAGACTAAAATACTAACTTGGGGGGAAAAAAGAAATTTTCCCAATTCCCTGGCAGGAGGGGCGGTCCCCACACTTGGCGGGCGCAGAGGGCGGGAGGCGGGGAGCGCGCCTGGCAGAGTGGTTATTCTGGTCTCCAGGCGCCTCCGCAGCTGCAAGCTTTTTATAAACAAGGCGAGTCCTCCCCTCCCAACTCAGACCTGCTTCCTGTGAAGGGATGAGGTTAGGACACTCCAGGGTCCACTCGCTCCCCGTGGGCTTGAATGGGGAGTGGCTAACCACTTAAGGAGGGGGCTGGGGTCTCTCCTCCCCCCACTCCAAGTTTTACTTTTTTTGGTCGAGATTTTGCGAATGATGCATTTTTGCTTCATCGATGGACCATTTTAGTGACCAGGGCCTTATTTCGCTGTGAATGGGGGTGGGGTGGGGGATGAGGGATGATCTCTAGCGTTACTGGGTTTTGTGTTATTTTTTTAAAAGGAAAGGAGGGAGAAGTTCAGCACTTCATTCAAGGGTCCCTCATCTTTAGGGCTGGATCTTTTCACCCCAGGAATGAAGGGCGTGTAGCTGCCCTCACTCCCTCCCGTTTTCTCCGTCTTGCATTATAGGCTTTGGGGATTTAGAAGGCAAGATGTTTTGTCTCTGTTTCTATCTTTTCTTCATTTTCTTCTCAATATTGGGATCCAAGGAGGGAGGCTTCCGGATTGCCCTAAGACCTTTCCTTTTCCTCTAGAAGTGGGAAGAGGGCTGGCTCTCTTGGTCCCTATTTTTCCTTTTAGTCTCAGAAACAGGGAGGGGTAGAGCTGCAACCAACACCTCTACATTTGGGTCTTAGAATGAGGAATTGGGATAGGGATGTCGCCTTTGACCTCTGTTCCCCCACCCCATTCTTTTGTATTTATTTTGGACCCCATAAAGGGAAAGAAGAGGGGCATAGAGACCTCTCGGGCCTAATTCCTCTTCTGAAATTGGAAGTAGGGGGTGTTTGACGAGGGGATCACAGCGTTCTAGGAGGGGCAGGGTCGTGGGAACGCGGCGTAGAAAGGCCAGGCGCGAATCCCACTGCTCCCCCAAGGCCTCAGACGCTCAGCCCTTCAACCACGGGCAATCACCATTGGACAGAAGGAGGGAGGTGACGCCTACTTATTGGCCAATTCATCCATCAATCTTATAAGCTTGTGCGAGAGCGCCAATCAACCCCGCCTACCTGATATTGACAGAAGGCGGAGTCAGCAGGCGCCCCTTTCCTACTTATACCGCCTCTGGAGCACCGCCCCTTACGTGCTATTTGGTGGAAAGTCCAAGGCCCGCCCCATCTAGGCGTCAATCTGCACAGAAGCCACGACCCCTCTGCTTTGCCGTGCGTCAGAGGGCCATATCTCCATGCGCGGCCCCACCCCTGCATGGCGTCACGGCTGTATCTGCATGCGAGGCCCCACCCCGCTCTTTGCAGGACGTCACCGCGGACTGCAGGGGCCTGAGCCGCCGCCGCTGCTGCTGCCGCCGCCGCGCAGCTCCACATCCGCGCATAGAGGACCCCCGTAGCCGTCACAGGAAAAAGAAAGTCCCCTCTGCTAGGATTGCCACCGCATCGGTGCACGGCAAGGTGAGCTCCCGAGAGACTTGGAGTGCTCCCGCTTGGCTCACCTGCGTAACCTTCATTTGACTGATGCACCAGTGGGATGCGGGACGAGGTTGGCGGGGCTTGAACGAGGGAAGAGTGCAGTAGCCAGGGGCCTGGGATGGGCCTGGGAGCCCCTACTTGCCAATCCTCACCCGCACCCCCTCCAGGCTCTGCGGTGGAGGGGGGGGAGGGGAGGCGGGTGCCGCACGGGAGAGATGTGCGCGGGAGCCTCTGCGTGCGCGTGCCTGTGGTGTGCAAACGCGTGTGCGCCCCACCTGTGCCTGCGGGTCTGTGTGACCCCTTGCGTTCTTCCTCGACATGCTCCTGTGTCCCTCTGCGTGTCTGGGCTCAAGTGCGTGCGTGCAACACGAGAGTGGAGGGAGACGCTTGCACTGTGCGTGTGCGTGCACAGCCTGGTCACACGGGGCTGTGTCCCTGTGGGTGACGTGTACGCACGCGCCTACCAGGGAGGAGGGAGCTGTCTGCTCAGGTGAATTTGCACATTTGTGTATGTGAATCGGTGTCCAGACAGGTTGCCTGCGTCTGCATCCTAGACACCCAGGTGTGTTTGCCTGCTAGTAGGTGTGCACCTGTACAGGCGTGCGTGTGTCTGGCTGTGTGCACGTGAGTGTGCGAGGCTCCGCCTCCGTCACGTGAGGTCTTTGCTTCATTGCTGCGCTCCCCACCTGAGGACTTTGGGAAAGGCGGTTGCGGACGCATCGCTGCGGGGTGCAGTACTTGTGCACGTGCGCTGGCGCAGCTCTGCTCTGAGGCCCATGAATGATTGATGGGGGGCGGGGCCAGACGCAGTCACCCCTCTGGTCGCAGCCATAGGGTTTAGGGTTACAGGGCGACCTAGGGCGCCGGACTGTTGGAGGGGTCTGCAGGGTGACCCTCTCTGCCTCCGTTCCTCTGATCTCTTGCACTGGGACTTCCCACCTTTCAAGGTCACGGGCCACCATGTGCTGTTGGCACCACCACTAGTACTGGGCTTCCCGAGGGGAGGAGGGTGGTCTCTCCACGCCCGCCCCTCCCCCTCTCTGGGGCTTCTTTTATACTGGACTCAATGTTGGGGGCTTCAGGGAGCCCCCCCTCACGCTCACACCCCATACTCACTCCACACTCCCAGATGGCGTCCGCCACAGACTCACGCTATGGACAGAAGGAGTCCTCCGACCAGAACTTCGACTACATGTTCAAGATCCTCATCATTGGGAACAGCAGTGTGGGCAAGACGTCCTTCCTCTTCCGCTACGCTGATGACTCCTTCACGCCTGCCTTTGTCAGCACTGTGGGCATCGACTTCAAGGTCAAGACCATTTACCGCAACGACAAGAGGATCAAGCTGCAGATCTGGGTGAGTGGGGCAGACACAGGGGCTGGGGCAGCAGGCATCTTTGCCCCTGTCCACTCCTTGGGGAAAGGTCCCCAGCTCTCCCCTTTCTTAGTTCATTCATTCTGAATGTGTATCAGGTGTCCACTTTGTACACTAGGGCCTCATCTCTTCCTGGGACAGATGCAGGGAAGTCCCTAAGGTCTCCTGCCTCTGCCTCCCTCAATGAAGGCCAATTGTTGTGTGCCAGCCAGCCAGAACTGACCCATAGTTGACTCTCCAGCCAGTTTTCAAAGGCAATAAATCCATGGGAGGAGATTGCCCATCCTACACTCATGGTGGATTTGAACTGAGTGACTTTGGATTGCAGTGCAGCTTCTTACCACTAGTCCACCAGGGCTCCCTCGTGAAGAGCAGAGGGGCTGGTTAAATCCTACCTCAGAGTCACTGCTCGGCTAGACTTCACTCAGGGTAAAACACACACACCTGCTCTTGAGTAATAGACACAGTTTGTGACTGACTACTAACCTAAGGGGGACTACCTGTTCAATCCCATTCAGCAAAATGATGGAAGCAGTCTTGTCAGAATGCTTCTGTAAAGATCACAGCAGAGAAAATCTCTACATTTGTAATACATGGGGTCACCATGAATTGAAATGGACTCTGTAAAAAATGGCCATGGGTCCCGTCTTAAAGCTCTGGCCAGTCCCCACTGTCATCCCTACTCTTTCTCCTTCATCTTCCTCAAATGCAGAGCAAGTCCCACCAGAGGGCCTCTGCTTCTCTCTGATACTTTCATGGCTCCTCTCAGCTTCTTCAGGTCTCTGAAGGGTGCTCGTTGCAAAGCTCCCACCCTTACTGGCTTCACCACCTCAGTCTCAGCCCTTGTCACTCTCTGGCATGTATTACCGTCGTCTTAAACATTTACTGCTCGCCACATGTGGTTCTCAGTTCCACAGGAGGGAGGATTTCTGTCCGTTTTGTTGATGGTTATGTCCCCAGGATCCAGGACAAGGTGCGGCGCCCAGCTGAGTGAATGAGGAGCGTTTGCTGAGTGGATTCTGCGGGTCGTGTGACCCTGTACTATATTAGTTATGTTCCCTCTAGTTGGAGCCAACCCTTAGCTGACTCTCCAGCAGATTCTGAGAGGCAGTAAATCACACGGGAGATGGTCCATCATTCTCCCTCGGAGCAGCTGGTAGATCTGAACCACGTGGTACTATACTGTTGTTGGGTACCATCAGGTGGGAACCGACCCATAGCTGACCCTCCAGAGAGTTTTCAGAGGCTGTTAATAACACAGGAAGAGACTGTTCATTTTCCTCCTGCAAAGTAGCTGGTGGATTCAAAGCTCCCTAGTTTTCTGCTCTCTTACTGACCCTCTGTGCTCTGGGTCAAGACCCTATTTTTTTTTTTTAAACTTTTTTTAAATTATTAATTTTAATGAAAATTTACAGAGACTTTGGATTTCCATTAATTCATTGTTATTTTTTCTCCCTGCCCACCCCTCCCCTCCAATTTGCTCTTCTCTTTGAAAAGTAAAAGAAAAATTCTTTCATTGTTGTACAACCCCTCACCCCCCACCCCCAAACCCACTCCACTACGCAGCCTTCGTTCTGGACTCCTATCATGACAATAATACCTAATCACATATCCCTTTTAAACAGTTCTCTCCCTCATCTGTTTCAATGCAGTATACATTATTTATCCCCGCTTTCTTAGTCTCCCCCCAACCCCTATGGCAGTCCCATTTTACAACAAAGCATTATCAGCATTTGTCCTTTTGTGACTGAGATATTTCACTCAGCATAATGTCCTCTAGGGTCATGCATTTTGTAAAATATTTCATGAGTTCCTTGTTTTTCAGTGCAGCTTAGTATTCCATTGTGTGAATATACCAGAGCCTCTCTAGCCATTCATTTGTTGATGGGCACTTAGGTTGTTTCCAACTCTTTGTTATTGTGAACAAAGCCGCGATGAACATGGGTGTGTATATATCTGCTTGGGTGGCGGTTATGGTCTCTTTGGGGTAAGACCCCATCTTCGCGTGTTTCGAGGTGCCTGGATTGCATGATCACAGAGCTCATTTTCCCTCTAGGGAACATATTTCTGGGTCCTCTTTGACCCTCTGTCTCTTCCTCCCCAGGACACAGCAGGGCAGGAGCGGTACCGGACCATCACCACAGCCTACTACCGAGGAGCCATGGGCTTTATTCTCATGTATGACATCACTAACGAGGAGTCCTTCAATGCCGTGCAGGACTGGTGAGCACTGTGACTGCTTCCTCTCAGGCTGTCCTCTAACCCAGGTGTGGGACAGGGCCCAGGGAACAGGCAAAACTGAGGGAGCCACAGTGCTGAGACATAAACACAAGTAACAGTAGTAGGACTCCAAAACTGCTAACCTATAAAAGCTCCAATCATTAAAATAGCATGACACCAGCCAGAACAAAACGATGAGGAGAAAAAAGATTTCAAGAGACAAAATAATGAAACTATAGATGAAGAATAAAAATCTCGGAGGGTAGCAGCAATAATCCTTTACATATGGTGCCCAGAGAGAATGATAAACTGTGTTTTCAATTTCAGCGTTTACTGGGGAGGGAGAAATGCTCCTCTGTGGAATGGGGGGTGCCTAGGGAGGTCATAGTTTCCAAAGGCAGGAAATTGTTGGAGCAAGAAGCAGAGGGAAGAATTACAGTGATGAGAAGATTCACTCTTAGGGGTGTAGGAAACTGGGGGTCCCAGGAGGGACTCTTGAAAGATCAGGAAGTGCAGATAGATAAGGAGAGGAAGGATAAGAACACTTAAGACCGGCTGTGTGGAGAGCTCTGGTGGCCTAGTGACAAGAAGGTGTATTACAATCCCAGAGGTGCATGGTTCAAATCCACCAAATGCTCTGCTGGAGAAGTAGGAACAATTTCCTTCTGTACCAGTCAGATCTGACTTGACAGTACACACACACACAAAATAATGAAATTAAAAAAAAAAAAAGAAGAAGACACTGTGAGATGGAGCCGAACCTGGCTCATTTGAGGACCAGTGGTACAGTAAGGACCCTGGATAAAGCCCTGGTGGCGCAGGGGCCAAGTGCATGACTGTAAACTGGAAGGCCATCGGTCTGAATGAACCAGTCACTCCTTGAGAGAAAGAGCAGTGGCTTCCATAAAGAACATAGCCTTGGAAACCAGGATGCAGTTCTAATCTGGCCTATAAGGTCGCTATGAGTTAGAATCGATTTGACGGCAGTGGGTGTAAAGTCGCTGGGTGGTCCCAGCAGTTTTTAACCACTGCTGCTCTGAGGTAGTGAGATGGGCAGTCTCCTCCGGTGTGATTTCCTGCCTCTGAACCCACTGGAGGGTCAGCTATGAGTCAATTCCAACTCAACAGTCCCTAAACAACAAACACCTGGCAGTTGGTGCTCTGAACTCACCAAGCATCACCAAGAAAGGCCTGGAAATCTTTTAAAGTCCTGGTTCTTTAAAGATCCCAGCCAAGAAGCACTATGGAGCAGTCCTATTGTGTAGAGCATGAGGCCATTACAAATTGGAATGAAGTCCACTGCAGCGGGTTTTGGTTGCCTGGGGTTTTGGTGGCTACAGTGGAGTGAGCAATGGGGGGTTGGTGGCAGCAGGACAAACCAGCTGAGCTCCAGAGGTCTTTATCCGAGGACAAGGGGACAAGTCTTGCAGTGGTGTGTTCGGATTCTCTAAAACACTAATCTGACCCTAATCTGCCGCTGTTACTGCCCTCCCCAGGTCAACCCAGATCAAGACCTATTCATGGGACAACGCACAGGTGCTGCTGGTGGGGAACAAGTGTGACATGGAGGACGAGCGAGTGGTGTCATCAGAGCGCGGCCGGCAGCTGGCCGACCACCTTGGTGAGCGCCTGGTGGGGCTGGAGACGTGACAAAGCTAGACATGGAAGACGAAAGCTCTGGTTAGTTTTGTGATGGTGAAGATGGAGAACAGGGCAAGGTTCAGGGCTGTTGTTCACAGCGTCGCTATGCATCACAGTGGACTTGGTGGCTCCTGGAGGGGTCACAGCTAAGCATGACAGGGCTTGGATCAGGATTCAGGCATATCACCCTTTAAGCAAACTGGTCTTGATCAAGGGGCTATTTGAGGTGGGTTTTGATGGATGCAAAGATCACTATGTAGACAGTAAATCATTCTGTTACTCTGACTCCTCAGGCCCCTGGTGTCACCAGGCCCCCGAGAGGCCTCCAGCTGTGTGGAGGCCAGGCTGGGATAGAGGGAGGGCCCTAGGCTACATGAGCTCTTGGGAGAAGCCAGGCTTCATGTGGGAGAAGGGAAAGCTTCTTGGAAGAAAGCATTGGATCTGATGTTTGAGGGAAGACTTTTCAAGCGGAGCAAACAGCCTGGGCTAAGACCCTGTCTATTTTGGCAAAAAGTTTGAACAAACTGTCTACAATATGAGTGTCAGTTGGAAGAAATAAGAGATCAGGCTGGCCAATCAGGGCTCTCCCAAGGGTAACTGATCACCATGGAAGATTGGGGGGTGGGGGAATGCAGGATCTATCAGAAGCTTGCATGGCCAGTATGGTGCTGGGCTTAACTGTGGAGGCCAAAGGCGTTTCCCCCAGGACTCTGGGGGCAGTACTAGCAAATGGGTATGGAGAAGAAAGGAATAGAGTAACTGCAGGGTGGGCTCAACTTAATCTTGTTCACATACAGAACTTGTCAGTGCCTTTAAGTTCCCAGTTGGCTCTAGGATTATCCAAGTCCTTCCCTTCCCTTTCTGTGACTTTATCCTCTGGGAGGAGGGGGCTGAGGCCCCCATCCCACAGTTGTCACCTCTTCTTTTAACCCCACCACAGGGTTTGAGTTCTTTGAGGCCAGTGCTAAGGACAATATCAACGTCAAGCAGACCTTCGAGCGCCTGGTGGACGTCATCTGTGAGAAGATGTCTGAGTCACTGGACACGGCTGACCCAGCGGTCACTGGCGCCAAGCAGGGCCCACAGCTAACGGACCAGCAGGCGCCCCCGCACCAGGACTGCGCCTGCTGAGAATGCCCCCTGGCCCCGCCTTGCCCCGGCCCCCATGGGCCTTGGTCGTGAGACCCTGCCCCGTTCCTCTTATTTATTATCCAGGCTATTTATTTATTTATTGGTGATGTGCCCCGGGCTCAAGCTCACCGTGCCCTCCCCACGCCACCCACCCTGCTCAATGGGCCCACTCTGTACATAGACCCCCCCCCACCCGTCCCTTCCCTCGCTCTGCCGTGTAGTGGCCCCCTGACCCCACTGCCCACCCTCCCCTCTAGACCTTACTTTTTTTTAAATTCACCTCCATCAACAGTTGTCAGTTGTGACAAGGGGCCTGATGACACCCCAGGGCAGGCTGATAGGTGGTGGGGGCGGCGCAGCACCGCCTGCCCCCGGCTCAGACTTGGTGGAGACCACCATGAGGGTCTCAGTGCGGACCACGGGGGTCAGAGCCCAGCAACCTGCCTCCACCTCCTCTTCCCCCAAGGGGGCTGCTGTAGGTGTTTGCCACCCTGGGGACCCCCTACTAGACCTGTTCTGATGTCACGAGTGTCAAAGCTGCTCCTCAGACCCTCCAAGAGATGTCACGAGAACCACCACACAAAACCCAATAAAGCGGAATGGACGAGGCCGTGTCCTGTGCGCACCCGCCCCCACTGGCTGGGGTGGCCGCGAGAGCTCCAGTTTCAGAGAGAATTTAATATTTCTGGTCATTGATCAAACATGAGAGCTGGGGTGGCTGAAGCTGGCTCTGGGCTCAGCCATGCTCTTGGGGCCCACACTGGTCCTGTGGTCTGAGGGAACCGTGAGATCCCTGGGTCCGAGGTCCTTAGGACTAGCCCAGTGAGGTGCAGAGGGGCAGGTACTCAGGACAAGGGCACTTTGGTCAAGGGTCACAAGGCCTCTGGAGAGAAGGGCTGGACCATGACTGTCGGACTATGGCTGTGTTTCAGCTGGAGAAACTGAGTCTCAGCAGTGAGCTTGAAGGGCAGCCCCTGCCAGAGACGCCTGGGAGTAAGGGCAGGGCTGGCCCTCGGTGCTGGCTAGCCCCCTCAGTGACATTCAGCCAGGGGTCAGCAGGGACTTCCTTTGTCACTTGGTCCGACAGGCCATGCATTGCATGGGCACACAGGGGTCCATCATCACACCATGCTGGGCTCATCCCTCTGGCCGTCTCACTTAGCATCATCCATCTGTCCTCCGGCTGGGGTCAGCTCTGCTCTACAGCTGTGGCAGGCACCTGGCCAAGGTCACATCAACATCAGACAGGCCGTCTCCATTGTCCCAAGGACGAATACCCACCCAACAAGCAGGAGGGGTCTGGAAGGGTGACCTGTTCACATGCATACCCGGTACTTCAGGTAGGAGAGGTAGGTGTCCCAGCCAAGGGTCACGCCGTTAATGTAGATGACCCGGAACTGAGAGGGCACGAAGAGGAAGTTGACCAGCTGTGCAGGGGGCCAGACGCACCAGTCAGCCTGCAGAGACGGGCAGGGGTGAGGAGCTGTACAGCTTTGGGCTGGAGCCGTGAGGGTTAGAGCATGAAGGGAAACGGGACCAGGCAGCTGAGAGGAAGGGCATGGAGGTGGCCACGCCTGGGAATTTCCCCCACCTTGTAGAATTCCCAGAACTTGTCCTGAAGCTCCTGGCAGCTCTCATCCAGTGTCTGGCCCTCCAGGCAGCCAAGGCCTGAGGAGGAAACCAGGAAATGAGTGTCACAGGTCCGGGAAGGTTGGTCATAGTGGAAACGGGAGGGGTAAGGTGTCCCAAGCAGAGTGTCTCAGACAACGGGAGTGGGAGCGGATACAAACAGCCCCATGGTAGAAGCTGCAATGGAGCCAAGAGGCACAGGCAGTGAGCAACAGCCCAAGGCCAGGGCTACAAAGCTGGAGGCCCATCCCACAAGAGCCACACATGTCCTGCCTCCCACCTAGCACAGCACCCACCAGTCCTGACCTCAGCCTTTTCCTGGAGGTCTCAGGGTGTTCAGGTTGCACTTCTGCCTGACCAGGTCATTCAAGACTCACTCAGCTTTGTGTGCCCTCCCTTGGGGAGGCCTGCTCACCTCAGTCCAACCCCATCTAACATGATTCTCACCCTCCTCCAGGTTCCTTGAGAACCAGACCAGGTCTGTCCAGTTCCCACTCTGCCCAGCCCTCAGTCCAGGCCCACACACACAGGAGGCTTATCAGAGGTGCACCATGGCATCCCGAACACAAAGCTGGCCCCACTCCTCCCCATCAATGAGGGATAAAACAAGACGGAATTGTCCTCAACAAATTGGTCAAGGTCTGCTCCCTGTGACTTCAGTCAGCCAGTCTAAATAGACTCATAGCTGATCCTCCCTTGGGTGCCTGAGGCTGTAGAGGCTGTACACTGCATGGGAGATTGTTCATCTTTCTCCTAAGGAGCCAGTGGTGGATTCGAACCACCAGACAGGCGAGGCTTCTGGAATAGCAAGCAACCCTCCAGAGATCATGCCACCAGATTTCCCTTCTGTAGGACAGGTCCTAAGCCTAATCACTTCCGAGTTTTAAGAACAGAACAGAAACAGAAGCAAAACACACAGGACCAAGAGAAAGATACGAAGATATGACCAAGGCACAGGCACCTACAAGGTCAGAAACGCCAAAGATGGCAGCAGGCAGCTCCCAGGAGCTGAGGGGCCCAAAAAGTTAAGTGCTGAGAAAGTGCCCGGGCTCTGCTTCAAAAGATCCCTGTGGAGCCGCTCTGTTCGGCACACGTGGTGTTGCCATGTGTCAGAATGGACCGGGTGGCAACTAGCAGCAAACAATCAGAAGCTAAAAGAGCCACACGCTGATTTCAACCACACTGCAGCCTCAGATTTCTGTTCTGTAAAGTCCCCCCACTTGAGATGTCCGCTTTACCCCACCCTACATAACTCACACACCAGGCTCCTTACCCAAGAAGTACCAGACGCCTAATAGGGGCGAGGCCACCAACTGGTCCACTAGCACCTTCCCCAAGACAGTCCGGAGGCTGCGGAGGCCAGAGGCAGGGAGCAGGCGGTCCAGCCAGAGGTACCAGTAGTGCAGGAAGGGGCCCATGCTGCAGCCCATGGCAAACATGCTCGCTGAGGGGAGGAAGGCACAGGGGTCCAGGCGTTAGGCAGCAAGCAATCCAGATACGCTCCTGGAACCCCACTTCCTCAGCACCCACACAGGGAAGGCCCACTGGTGGCTTCTTTTTGTACAAGCCCTGTTCCGTTCCAGGTGTTCCCTGTGGGGGGGGGGGGCGCTTTAATCCTGCACACCCACACCCACATCCCCCGAGAGGGAAGATCCATCACCAATTATTTTCTTAAGAAAAGAGGCAAATAAAGATGAGTTCAATAATGTACTGAAACAGATGAAGGAGAAAACTGTTTAAAAGGCATATGTGGTTAAGTATTTTTGTCATGACAGGAGTCCAGAGTGAAGGCTGCATAGTGGAGTGGACCTGGGGAGGAAGGGATTGTAAAACAATGAAAGAATTTTTCGTTTACTTTTCCAAGAAGGTAGGTAGTGTACTGGTGGGGAGAGGGTTGGGAGGGGAGAAAAGTGCAACAGTGAATGAATGGAAATCCAAAGTCTCTCTAAATTTGCATTGAAATTAATAATAAATTTAAAAAAAAAGAACTGAAAAAAAGAAAAAGAAAACAGGCAAATAAATTAATAAGATAAAAAGAAAAGTGAGGCACAGTGATTTGCAAAGTGCCACGGCCAGAGCTGGCTGGATCCAGGGGCTGATTTAGATGCCACCTCCCCCATATCATTTGGGTTGGCTAGGGGAGAGCCCACAGATGGGCAGGATTCAGAGAACTGGGGAATGAGACTTGGAGCGTGCGTGGAGAGAGGCCCTGCAAGTGGGGAAGTGATGGAGATCCCGGTAATGTGAGGGGATACTGGGAAAGGGGCGAGGTATTGAGACCCCGGAGAAGCAGGAGACACCGGGGGTGGAAAGGGAAGAAGCTTGCGGAGAGGGGGATCCAGAGATAGAAACAGGTAAGTCCTGGGAAGATGAGATTCTGAGGGTAGAATAGGCCCGAAGATCCCGTGCATAGAAGGCGATGGAGACCCAGAAGGAGGAAACCTCGAGGGTTTGCAGGGAAAAAGACCCCGGTCGTGAGCGGGGAGGAAATCTCTGGAGTGCGGTGTTGGAGACTCTTAGAGCAGGTTGGGAAGAGACTGTCAGGATGCAGAGTACGTTGAGATCAATGGTCAGGAATCATAACCGGTTGATTCAGTGCAGGGTTCTCCAAGATAGTGTTGGAGCAAAGGTCCCACGAGGTCAAGGACCAGCGGGTCGGCTCGCTTACCAGAGCGCCGCGGATCGAACCTCTGGCCTGGCCGGGTGCGGATCTCCCAGGACTGGCGCGCGCCGTCTCCGGCTGCCATGAGCGCGCCGCAGCTCAGCGTGTTGGTGACAAGCAGCGCCCGGCCCTGGAACAGAGGCTTGCCAGCTGTCCACAGGCCGCGAACCCAACCCCAGCTGCCCGGCGCCATCGTCGCGCCGAACACAGGAACAGGCGCGCCGGCCCGCCCCCGCGTCACGGCCGCCAATCGCGAACCATCGCCCCAGCACGCCGATAATTTTCACCCCGCCCCAAACAGCACTCACCAATCAATGCCCTCTTCCTCGCCACTTTCCCCACCCCTAGTTATACATACCAATAAGCGACTGAGATACTACCTGTGACCAATTGGGTACGAAGTCATTCCCCGCCTTCCCGAGCAGTTAGGACCAATCATAACTACGCATAGCACCACTCACCTTCACTGATTGCTGGCGTTCGCTCTCACTCTTACTTTCCCGCCCCTCTCTTCTACATCGCGCCAATGGGAACAGTCGCCACACCTCCCACGGAATTTATGAGTGTTTCTTCTTCAGGCTTCTTTTTTTTCCCTTCAGGCTTCTTGACAGCTACCTACTTGGGCAGGAGGCCAATCACGAAAAGACAACGGAGTTCTTGCTGTTAGGTACCGTCCTATGAACAAACGATCTGAATGAACCCTGTCCTCTCCAGTGCCATCCCCACTATCTCAAGCCCACTGCCGTAGTCACTGTGTCAAACCCACATGTTCGAGGGTCTTCCTCCCTTTTGCAGCTTCTCCATCTTCCCAAGCTTCATGTCCTTCTCCAAGAACTTCTCCTAGCAACATGCTCAAAGTTTGTGAGACAAAGCTTCATCATCTTTACCTCCAAGGAGCATTCTGGCTACACTGTCTCCAAGACATACCTGTTTGTTCATGGGCTCTTCAGCACAATTCAGACATCAATTCTTATATCATCCTTACTCATTGCCCAGCTCTCAAATGCATAGCAAGAGACTGAAAAAGACCTAGCCTGAATCAGGCATACCATAGTCCTCAAACTAATCTCAGTACTCCTTAATAATTTGGAAAAGTCCCTGACTACAGACTTTCTCAAGGACAATATGCCTCCTGACTCCTGGTACCAAGTGTACTGATTGTAGACAGAGTAAGATGAAGTCATTGACAGTTTGAGTCCTTTCTTGGTCGGTCCATCATGATGTTTCCTATCCATCAAGTGGCAAGGATTTTTGTTTTCTTGATATTGAAATGCAATCCACATTGAAGGCTGCAGTGTTTAACTTTCTGCAGGTGCTTCAAGTCCTCCTCACTTTCAGCAAGCAAGGTTTGCCATCTTCATACTGAAGGTTTTGAGGAATCTTCCTCCAGTCTTGATGCCACATTTTTCTTCATAGAGTCCAGCATCTTGAGTAATTTGCTCAGCATATAAATAGGTATCAAGAAAGGATGCAACCCTGACACACACCTTTCCTAATTTTAAACCATGTAGTGTTCCCTTGCTCTTAGGAGAGGGAACAGGAAGGTACAGTTCTGATGCACACACATCCCTGATGTCTCCAAGTCCTTTGTTAACCTTACTTCTGATCTAGCTGGGCTTCTGACTTCAATTCCAGAATAGTAACTATAACATTAGTCACTGTTACATGTTTCAACTCATTTCATTGCAACTTTATGATGCTGCAGGAACTATTATATCTGCACTTATCTTCTACAGGTCTATAATGTTTCAAAAGAAAACTATAGAAGACTTTGGAAACCACAGCCCTGGGCCAAATCAAGTCGTAGCCTGTTTTCTTACAGCTTGAGTTATGTTTTGGTTTTGGGCTGGGTTTTGTTTGTGTTTTTACATTTTTAAGTGATGAAAAATGTTTTTTGACAAGTGAAAAACACAGGCATACCTCATTTGCTTACTTATTTTGTGCTTCACAGATATTGCACAATTTTCATAGTGAAAAAGCAAGCCCATTTTTTCCAAATGCAGATGCTCTCACTTCATTTCTGTGTCACCTTTTGGTAATAACCCTCACTCATCTCAAACTCTCAGTACGTTATTGCACACTTAATAAATGACTCAAAACTCACATTCATTGCTGTACAGTTGGTGCAGACTCACAGCTGACCCTCCAGCGCATTTCCCCAGGCTGTAAACCAAAATTTTTTTCTCCAATGAAGCTCCTAGTGGATTCCAACCACCAGTGAGGTGCAGCTATTAGGTTGGCAGCGCTACTCCCTACAGACTGCAGCAGCAGAGCTCTCTTAATAGACTCTACAGCATGTGCACTGAGAGACAAGCAAAAAAAAAAAGAAAAAGAAAAAAGAATCCATGACTTGCTTGATGGGGGTATTTATTTTATTGCAATGGTCTAGAGGCAACTTCATCTCACTTACAATGGGCATATTTTTAGGAGGAACCAGGTCTTCATGCTGGGAAAGGCAGAAGGCCAGCAAAAGAAAGGAAGCCCCTCAGTGAGATGGACTGACACAGTGATAACCACGATGGGCTAGAGCAGGACAGGCACCATGATGCTAGAGGATGGGGCAGGATAGGGCAGGCTCCGATCCACCGTGCACAGGGTTACTGAGAGTCAAAACTCACTTAACGGCACCTAACAAAAAGAGGCAACTTGCAGTATCACTGAGGTATGCTTACACATAAAATTCAAACTTGTTGTTGTTATTGTTGTTATGTGCCGTCGAGTCGTTTGCAACTCATAGCGACCCTATTCACTGTACAACTCTCTGATGCATAGCACGTAATTGCGAAGACTATGGCCTAGATCAGGTGCACCTTAGTTTCCAGCCTGACATCATTGCTCTTCAGTACTCTTTGAGAGATGGTGGTAGTGGGCGTAATAAAGCTTCATCTCCCACCCAGAGGAGGCTTGACCAGACACTTTTGACTTGACCAGACACTTCTCCGACTTGAACATTGACTATCTGTCCATTCTGACTTATGCCACCTCATATGTCACAGAGCAGAACTGCTCCGTGGCTGATTCATTTAGAAGCTCATCTCTTAAGAATTTCTTCTGCGGTGTCATCATGTGGACTCAAACTCCCAACCTTCAGGTTCGCAGCCAACTGCAAACATAGCATGACATTCCAGAACCTAAACTTATATAGGTTCTGCAGGTGAAAACTGGTATAGTTTCTCCCCTCTGGTTAGCAAATGAAGGTAACTTTTCAAAGGCCTAGCCTGAGATTTCTTCTGGGAAATTCCAGCAAAGCAAACTGAAGAAAGCTTGCTGACGCTGTGTAAATAACCAGGGCAGTCCCTAAGAGAGCTCTAAGAATAGTTCTCTCAGATTATTTTTCAAGATAAGAGGCAACCCTCCCCTTCCTCAACTCCTCTGAGAAAGTCAGTTTTGCCTTCATATACGTGTTCATGCCAATATCCCTGGGCCTCTGGGGGTGCCTAGTGCATCATATATTTTGATCAGTGGGGAAAAGATAGGCAGCCTCCTCCCATATAAAATGTATATCCTCAGAAACCCAGTGAGGGGTTGCTATGAGTGGGAATTGGTTCAATGACAGTGAGAATATTCCTATAAGGAGCCCTGGGAGCACAAAGGTTTAATACTTGCTGTTGCTTAAACTCAGCAGTTGCTCCATGTAAGAAGAGCTGTGAGAATTTGCTCCCATAAACATTCCATCTTGGAAAATTCTGTGAGAAAGGTAGGATGTGATAAGGAGTACCATCGAGATGGAACCGACCCATAGCTACTCTCCAGTGGGTTTCTGAGGCAGTTAATCACATGGGAGGAGACTGCCCATCCTTCTCCAGCAGAGCAGCTGGTGGATTTGAACCATGTGACTCCGGGATTGCAGCACACCTTCTTGCCACTAGGCGACCAGAGTGCCCTTCAGGTTGGTTGTTGTTGTTGTTGTTATGTGTCGTTGAGTCGCCTGCAACTCATAGCGACCCTATGTACAACAGCCCTAAACTCCGCTCTGTCCTGTGCCAATCGCACTGTCTCTGACACTCCCATCCCAA